CAGGCAATTGTGTTGCAAAGATAAACCACCTGCAGTCATTCTCTTCTTATTGAAGGGCTCCTATGTTCAAAAAAAGAATACTTCACTATCATTTTTCCTCTGAGACTTGCCTCTAGTCAGGGATTATTGGCAGCTTGATAACTAAGACGCACAGAAAAGCCATGCTCGGAGAGGTATGCTACATCAGCTCATTCTTCCAATCTTCTAAAACATTAAAAGAACTCAAAGGCACAGAGAACAACAGGCAAGCAGCATGAATGCAAATCTCAGATCTTGCTTTCTTTTTCAACAGATCTTCCATGCATTCCCACAAAGGGAAAATGACCCAACAGAGGTCCCATTCCTCTCCCTTTCCTCCGCCTTCCTACTGGGATGTAACACATGAGCCATTTTCCACAAAAAACAGATAGCAGCACCACTCTGCAAACAGATCACAAAATCCAAGAAGCAAACAAAAATCCAAGAAGCAGTGGTGTGCAAAGACAAGAACACGCTCCATGGTCTTGCACTACCGTTCTCCTCATGGCAACCTCTTCCCAACAGCAGTGGCAGCTGCAGCAAGCCTTATTCGTAGGATACAAGTTTTTGAACCACGGAATGGCCCCATTCGATACACTTCATCAACCACTGCAAAAGAATCGGTCTATTTACAGGCTATTCCGTTTATCATTGGCAAGCAAAAAATAATCACAGTTCTGGAATGGCTTACAACCTCCAGGCAAAAGCATAAGGCCTTTTTCATAATCAAGGCTATAAATAAAACACTTGCTGAAAAGCACAAAATCAAGACAAGAAAACAAAACAGATAGATAATGCATCAGATTAAAACCTCAAGTAATTTAAAATGGGTATGACATTTCATAGCAGCTTAGTCTTTGCATGAGTACACACAAACGCTCTCAACCTTTCTTGCAGCAGTAACTCTTAACTGCCACAAACAGGCATTAGGCACGATGCTACAATAAAGAACCCCGCAGCAGGGAGCTATGAAAATGCCTTGGACCTGGCTGATAGATACAGGACAAACTCAGCATCTGTGTAGTGCCTTTCTCCACAAACGTGAAACCACGTAAAACTCTGTTCATTAAGTCCCAGTGTAAGGTGAAACGAAATGCCAGATGCACCTTCAGTGAAATAACTACTAAATTTTGGATTTTAAGATCCCACTTTGAACACAAACAGTGCTCTGACTTCTTGAAAAGGACAGCCATTCACTGAATACCAACTAGCTGTTTGCTTTAATTTTTAACATTTGCAGGTGGAGCCATCTCTAGCCTGGAACATAACCAGATTTTGACAATACAAGGAGCAATTCACAAAAGGGACACCCAACTTTCCAGTTAAGTCTACCTGACTCCAAGAACAGGGTCAGAAAAGACATTCCCAATCTTTTAATGCAGCTCCAGCCACACCATCATTTTACCTCTTGAGCCTGGGAGAACACAGTGAAAGGCCTCTAGAGTAGTTCTGTAACCAGGAACTCAAGGGTGCTGTGTGGTATGGACCATCAGATGTTACTACTGGCCACAGACACGCAGGTTTGGCTGTACCTTTGCACAGAAACATCGGTTTGGGCCAGAAAGGGCAGACTTCTAAAAAGTCATTGTTAAAAATACGATCTTTTACCAAGAGAGGGACTGGAGAGCCTAAGGAGAAACTGTCGGCTTCCTTTTCAAATTGTGCACCAGGCATCAAAGGAAGACACTATCTTATACTGTAGGAGCTTAATTCCCAACGTAGCCAAAAGTCTGATACGAATTAAAGCCTTCAAAAGACTCAGTCCCAGGGACAGCTGAGCCATCAGCAATACTTATATCTTTGGAAGCCTGGTCCATTTCAGCCTGGCCAACCGGGTCCATTTCAAAGACCTCTGCCAGAGTAAAATTCAGAACCATCCCAGGCAAAAACAAAAGATAATTAGGAGAGATGTTAACGTGGAAGTCCTTGTAAACAAAAATCTTATTAGCATTAGAAACTTGCACAGTATCACTGCCATTCATTCCTGAAAGTGCAGGATGTCTGTTAAGATACAAGCGGTGGTAGGGAAAAATAGTTCAAATGCATACAACTCCATTTAGAGGAAGGCAACACAAGGCAACTTCAACAATTTTTATTCTTGTGGGAACTGGGGACAGGGAGCAGTACCAGGCTCCATCAGGAGTTGCCCACTCCTTTCAACTTGCAAAGCCAGCTTCGTCCAGAGAAGATCGATGAAGATGCCTCAGTGGACGGCTATCTCTGTTAAGCATGCATAAGGAGAGTCCAACATCAGCGACTGCTGGCTCTACACCCACTGGGATTAAAGTTATTCATGATACTGTACTCTGTGATATTTAGGAGAAAAATGGGAATGGGGGAAGGAAAGAAGGGGATTACACTTTCTGGATGCCAGAAGTATTTCAGCTAGACTTGCCTCAAACAGTCAAAATAAAAACAAATGCTTTTATACTTATAACTCGTGTATGTAAGGGGTAGACTGTATTCTGTCCTCTAACAGCTAGTGGCGCTAGCTACCGTGTTTAGTGAGGACAGCAATTGGTAGGACATAGACAGCAATGCCATTATGAAGGCTGATGTGACGTTGTCACAGCCACCTATAGGGCTCATCAACAGCAGCATACAAACAGCCTTAGGTCATACAGTTGGGTCAGAGCTTTAGTCAAGTGAATTTGTCACTGCCTTACAAATTTCCTATGCACATACCTTTCGTTACAAGTCACACGCACCGGAAAAAAAAAAAAAAGTCACATCACTGCAGTAGTTTATTCTAATAACCACTGCCTACCAAAGACAGTAGAAGCAACTCAGGAGACAGTGAAGTAGCATTCATAGCTGTGTCATTGCGTAAGCCAGTTGCTTAGATACCTATTGACTTTCCAGGTGAAGAACTGTTCTTCGGTAAATGTTGCTTCCCAATTCTCTTCGTGCTGCTGCAACAGGCCTTATTTTGGCATCATCTGCTTACGGGACCACACTGCATGCCAGCATTCCCCACTGTCTGCTACTACCCAAAATAACTACTCTGAATTACATACTTGAGGCTCAAACACTGACCTGCTCACATCCTAATGACCACATCCACTCAGCTGTGGATGAGAGGGAAGGGAGGGGACAGGAGAGCACAGTTCTGCCCAGAGAGCGGGTTTTGTTTTGAATGGACGGGGGGAGGGGAGGGGGCTGGCTGTCTTTCAAAAAAAGAACAAAGAAACAAAAACCTCCACCCAACCCTTCTGCATTTAACTTAGCTTTTAAATTCCAATTTGCTCAAAACCCTCCCTCCCCTCCACGCAAGACTCTCTTGAAGTAATACTTCAAAGACCAAGGGTCCTGGCAAGAATAAGACCTCAATAAACATTAAATAAATTTAAGAGGAGCTGGAATTTGTGTTGAAAGCGTAACTGCAACACTGGAGTAGCTCTAACTAGTCTTTTAAACTTAAAACGTTACAAAGCCACGAGACTCTCAGAGCAGGACAATAATTCTTCAAGATTATTAAGGTCGGTATTTATATATGCTCCTTCTGCCAGCTTATCACTGGAGGATGTAAACCATCAGACAGGGAAGAGTATGTTGGCTGGAGGTGTGACAGACCATATGAGCACACTTACAAAGAGTTCTATTATACAGTGCCATCAGAAGTGGGTAAAAACAACGGCCAGCATACAACAGGCTTTCAAAATGAGATTAGACCATCATTCCAACACAGAGATACTTCACTCATCATCTTGTTTATGGATACCCATCCATGAAAAGGATTGGCCAAGCACTGAAACAAGTGAAGAGCGCCAGAGTTCAACGGAGAGTTCCAAAAGGCTTAACTGGGCTACAAAACTCAGTTATTACCTACGATTAAGCACAGGTGGACTTCTAACTAATATTAATCACAAATGCTGCCATTGTTACCATGCAAACAAACATTTTAGTTGTTCAAGTTGTCCTCTTCCAAGCATGGAGAGAATTACAGTATCAGAAGGACAGAAGCGGACTGCTCCACAGTGGTACCACACACAAAATGACCAGGGACTTCCTATAACTTTTGTAATAAATGCCTGTTGACTGAGGCTGAATACCCACAGGATATTATTAACATTTCCCCTCCAGCAACTGGTCTAATAAAGAAACACAGAACAGCTTTGCTGTAGTACAAAAGTTCACAGAAAGTTTGACAATTTAATTGAAGATAATACAAAATACGTTGTCTGAATTCAAATAATTTATGTAAAAGTACATGAATGATGAAGATATTGGCGAGAAGATTTGGGTAACCACATTGTTAGATGCATGTTCTTTACTTTTTCTCCCCTCCCTAGAGTTAACATATAGTCAAAAATACAATTATATTTTAAAGTTACAATAAAAGATAGCATTGCAAAAATAAACACAATTTCAGGTCTATCAGCCCTTTAACATGAGAATTTCCTGTCAATACAGGACACACTTGATAGAATAAACAAAGTGGAGTAACACTGAAGTCTCTGAATCAGCTTCGTCATATTTGGTTTCTCCTTTTATTGGGGAGGGAGAACGGAAAACAGATGACAGAAAACAAAGAGGAGACTTTGTTAGTGCTCCGTCTTTCAATTTTGTGTTTTAAATAGCATATCCAGAGCATGGAATTACTTTCACCTATTTACCCCAGGAAAAAAAGCACCCTCCTTGTCAGGAGGCTCAGGGTACAGATCAGGCACAGATCATCCATTCCTCATGAAGCAATACCCCATCCACACAAAAGTGGATCCTGCAGGCAAATTAAGCTACCTAACCGTATACAGGATGGCACCTTGGCCCCAGCAAGCACTTTCTCCCAGCCTCCAGCACAGCCACAGTTCCACTCAAATCATGAGTTATTTCTTCATGCTTGACAAATGCTGACACCCAAAGAGTCACTTTCATGACTATGACATCAAGCAACAGCCTGAAACACCCAAGATTTCTTACCATGTATCACTTGCCCTCCACATTTTTGTGGTCAGCTAAACAGTTAACAAGGAAACACATGATTACTTTCTTTAAAGATATTTTAGTTCATTGCTTCTTGTTAAAAGCATTGGTTGCAGTACAATAGTTTGACATACAGCAACAAAAAACACACTTGATTTACATGCACAAGCCATCAAACAATAGTACATGGTCCTTCCTATAGCCTTTCTAAAAATGAGCACCGCTATGACAGCTGACACAGGCTTTCTGATTGTTCATAAGAACTCTCAAAAAGTGATGAAAATAGCGTTCCAGTTAACACAACAGCAAAGAACAGAGGTTTGGCCATTGCTAGAAGATTCCAATGAAGATGTCAGTATCTTAATGGGATGCAGTGTTGGTATTATTGTATTTACAGCTACAAAAAAAGCTATGCAAAGTTGTTTTAATGTGCACCTCAACTTAAAAAAAACCATGGGAAATACTTACAACTTTCAATAAAAACATACTAGAAAATAAGAATATGTATGCAGTGGAAGAAAAGTTAGAGTTTAAGGCAAGAGAAACATGTAGGTGCTTAAAAAATCCGATTATTGAGGTACTGTATAACAGCAACAATCCACCGGGGAAAAAGTGCATTGTTTCCTAGAAGGATTTAAAAAAAAAAAAAAAACACACCCACATACACCACACCTTCCGATTTTGAAAATGCAAGCATTCACGTTCCGTTCTTGCCTAGATGAGATTTCTTTAACTTTACAGTTTGGTCCAGATTGTCATGGTTTAGCTTACAAAGAGTAGTATACGCTATTAGGACTGCTCACTGCAAGTTTACACAATCTGCTTTTCAAAAACAGATGCAATCGTCACCTTCCTTAAAGACTGGTGTTACAGTTTCAGTACTGCTGCTATGGTGCTTCTGGAAATGAGAACAGAGAAGTCAGATTTATGACTGAGATGAGCAATCAGCTCTGTAAAACAAATATGCATGTTATAATAAGGCTTCTTCTACAGCAAATAAAACTTAATCATGGGATTTTTTAAAAAAAAAAAACATTTATTTCTAGGTTTCAAAAGAGTTAATAATTCTAGCAATAAGACTCTCAAAGTGCCCTGGCTGCGCCCCTCTTTTTTTAGTAACTTTCCCAAGTGGTATTCAGACAGGTGAGAAAGTCTCTCCTCTGTAATCAATAGTCATCAGTTTATAATTATACTATTGGAAAATCAGATCCTGAAATATCATGAACATTCAACATGATAGTTATAACCATAATTCATTCATGACCATATAAAAAAGCACAATTATATGTGACTGCACTGTTAGATCTATGACACACCAAGTAAGACTGCAAAAATAAAAGACAAAAAAGGAAAAAGGCCCCGAGTCACCATTTCTTTTCTTACCAAATGTCTCACAGCAAAAAAGTAGCAAAGGTTTAATCTTAAATACAAAGTTATATTCTGCAAATCAGGTCCTCTAATCCAGACTGATGGTACTTTTTATTATCATTTCAATTGAGCCACCTATTACAAACTCGCAATGCCAGCACTTATTCATAAATTGTGTTGCCCAGCTTTGTCCACCCTTGTCAATTATTCACACCTTATTTTTTACAGAACAAGGAATAATGCTGTGGTTTGCACTTCTGAAATAGGAAGAGGTCTCAGCTCCTGTAAACCACGTTAAAAAGCTCAGGAAGATGAATTAAAGGACACCTCAAGTGAATTGTCAAAATTTTGCTCATAATGGAAAAAGAGGTATGAATATGAAGGCATAGAAGGTGTTAAAAAACAATCTAAAAAATGAACCTGGTAGAGACTACACTAGAAACACTTACCTTGTTCAAGGCATTTAAATGATGACCTCAAAAGATAATCAGTAAGAATTGTGAAGAAATGCAAGACATGCAAAGACTGTTGTAGATGGCTGAAATATCTCTTGTAAAGGCAGTGTAAAATGACGGCTGGGGAGGGGTCAACCAGTCATCTTGCTGACTTCAACCCACCTGCCACTGACCCCCTTAATAATCTGCATTAAGGACCTGATGAGCAGCAGTGAAATTTTTGCCATGCAATTACAACTGTTAGCAACCAATATGCAACTCAAGAGCGATACTGTCATTCATATCATCCATTCCCATCCAATAATGGATTATTACTTTAATAATCCATTAAAGTACAAGGTCAAAAAGGGAAGTGGTAAACATCTGTTGCCATAAGTGAAAACACTTCAAAAATTTACATTAAATTAAAAGCTAAATGGTTTCTTATAAAAAGAAGTACTGAACACGACAAAGCCACAATAAATTAGTGTTTCCATAAAACAACATGCTGAAGGTTTTGTTCCCAAGTCTATACATTTTTTTACTGTCTGTTAATTCCTAAATGTTGACAGCATAATTGAATAATTGAGGTACATTAGTTTACATTTGTATACGTCTTGTAAAAATGTTAATTTTTTTCTTCCAGTTTTTCTTCCTCATCGCCAAAGAACAACAAAGGAAACATTCCTAAAATGCAGCCAACGGTCACTCCAATAGCTTTACCCTAGAGAAAGGGGGAAAAAATTAACAAGTTTCTCACAGATCAGTTGTTACTTATTTTCTGTGTAGTACCCCCACAACCAGGAATACAGACCCTTCTTTCAAGCTTTTGGTTGGGAGCCGCATTTTTCTCAGCATGCAGACTACAAACGCAAGCTATGAGGGACGCACAGCTATGTATACGGAAAAGTGACAGGATCAGAAACAGCATATACTGTGATAAAAGACAATTCCAAATAAAGATGAGGGGCATGACCCGTTAAGAGTTGCCTATGTGGTAAAGGAGGAGACCGAGACTCAAAAGGGTCAGTAAAATAACCAGGAAGACAGGGCAGGAAAAAAACACATTTGAGGTGCAACTATAAAACATATCTTCTGGTATCTGGTAACGCAAATTGTCACCAAGGCCATGAACAGGGAACTCCAAGTAAACACGACAGTTGGCAAGGGCACAAGGTAGAGACAAAAAAATAGATAGGAAAAGATTTCACAATTGACCTAGATGTAAAGGTCAAAAGGAGAGGAAAGAAATAAGAAAGGCAGCATCCCGATCACATCTCTACCAGCAGTAGGTGGATGGCATTGAGAAGCTTCAGACAGTGGGTAATTATTTAAAAGAGAAAAATAAATAAGGAGCATGTAGGCTAAGACACTCAAAAGTCCTTTGAATAGAGAAGGGCTGTGAACAAACTGTACTGAAATGACTGAGATTTGGGCCACAGACTCAGTTTCCACTGAAAAACCCAAATGTTAGACAGAGACTAAAAGGCAGCCAACTTACGACTTGCCTAGTTCCTCTTCCCCACTCACTGCCTTGATATATCACTGCTAAAGGCAGACTTTTTTCCTGAACCTTTCCTCAGGAAAGGTTACTTCTCTTCCCTTAAATCTGCAAACAGATGTTTTTCCCCCCAAAATTTTTACGCTTGCGGAAATATCTGAACACTAGACATAGTGTTTATTTAACCACAAGTGCCTTGCTACAAAAATAAACTAACGCTCTCATTGCTAAAGTGGGACTGTTCAAACGTTTAAATGTTAATGAAGTATTCATCGTGAAAATGCATCTACAAGATGAGTGTCCCATAACTATGCAAGTTACTATAGAATTTGGCAGTGATACTTGAATGCTAATTTATCCAGATAAAAATTAATTTAATATCCAAGCTAACTATAAAATATTCAAAATTAATACATACTAGTACAGCTATATTACTAATAAGCACTTGACAAAGAATATAAAGGAATAAAACTGCCAAGGGTGCGGAGACATATATACTGTCATAACTTTCAAATTGACTATCTTAGCATTGTAGCTAGAGTTCAATCAAGGGATCTGCACAACATATGTGAAGTCATGGTAGAGATTATCCACGCTACCAGTTACTCACGGCTTGTCTCATACAAAAAATACCCATGACCAAAAACAGTCCAGTCTGATAATGCTCCCCCTGACATGAACGCACAGTCAAACCTTTCAGCAAATCTTCAAAATTTTAGTGGTCATTAGGTATTTAAGGACAAAAGCGACAAAAAGAAATCACAATCATTAAATATTAGTAAAAATAAAAAAAAAAAGAAATTCCACATAAATAATTCTGAAAGGACGCTTACCAAGTGTGCACTGAGACGTGTTTGCCACATATCAGCTTGTTTCGGTGTCAAATCAGGGATTGACAGACCCAGCCTTGAAGCTAAAGCTTCTACATAACCTGCAAGACTGGATAAACAACAAAACAGGAACATATGATTTAGGATCTGAAAGTGTCTTTAAGTGAGGATTTTCAACTATTTGAAGCACTGAACTTCAACAATGAATAGCTTTTCCTTCAGTACGCATAATGCCAAAGCCATCACAAGGCAAATATAGGAACGTATTCAGACTTCAGTTCACATTTTACAACGTAAATTAACTAATTTTCTCACTAATATGCAATACCTCTAGAAAAACTTCAGCAATAAGATGCTACTGTCTTAGCACAGCTCGTAGCAACTTTTACAATAGGAAACATTCCACCACTCACACACTGTTCAGCAATACGCTTTGTTATATACGGAAAAAAAAATTAAGAGTGGAAACTATGCAAACTTAAATAAAATAAAAGGAATCCGCTGTATCTCTTTTTAACAGAAAAAGAGCTCAAGCGCCACTGATTAGTAATAGATAGGTATTTCTGGCTCTGAAGATGTTTCCTTCTCTTAATAAATAGATTATATATTTTCCAGGGCCCTATTGTAAAAATGCATTTTCCAAGCTGTTCAGAGCAGTAGCCATACCAGGCGAGACGAAAGGCCCCCCCCCAGCTCAGCACCCCACCCTCTGGGCAACAAATGACTGGGAACAAGTGCTTACAGGAACAGCACAACAGGACAAGAATACGATGCCTCCTCCTGCAATATTTGCCCTCCCACGGTCCAGGGCTTGCGGTTTAGGGTGTCATATTCACTGTTATGTGGCTTTCTTGAAAAGGTACTGGACTACAAAAAGCTAAACTGAGTTTCTCTTATCTCAATACAGGCTTCCACTTTCTACTCGGAGATATTCAACACCTTGAGTTTCAACTCAGCGACTTCAGAGCCAAGCTTTCAGATGATGTTCTCATCAATCTCTCCTTGACACGTGTGCAAAACACACATGTAAATGGCTCAGGTCATTTTAACAAACGCACTTTCTAATGACAAAAATCCCACTACTTCTTTACGAGCAAGCAGTATCTACTGAGTACATCAAATCAGATTAAATGCCATTCCCAATTTTATCAATTAAAACATGTAATTTCCCCAGTACATTTTTTTGATTATGTTGTCAGAACATATTGAAATAGTCAGAGAACTACTCTCTGCTTCAAAACTAATTTGAACCTCAACAAGGAATATAATTTAACTGTTTCTTTGGAGAAAATAGGACGCATTTCTATAGTCATTTGGTTTACTGAAGCGCAATTTAAGATCTGGAGAAAAGAAATAAAGCAATTTCAACAGCTTATATGGTACTGGTTTGTTAGCACCAATTAGCAACCCTAGCTTGTTTTCAAAGCAGCAAGAAATCAACATATTTTTTAAAAAAATTCAGACATACCCCAGTCCAGCTAAATCTGAAACAAGGTTTCCCAAAGCAGCAGCTGGAGGGGGGAAAGGGAAGAAAAGGGGAGGGGAAGGGAGAAAGTATTATTTTAATAATACAGCCCAAAAAATCCAAACAATCCCCACAACTGACCCTCACTCTTACCACTAAATGTTGCATAAAAGACTAAAAATTTCTTTTGTACAGCTAATCTTCTAACCTTACTAGAACTTGTAATAGTGGCAGTTGGACTAACAATAGCAGGAAATGTAAATATTTTTCTGAACTTCTACTAGGAAAGCTTTGTGAATACAGAAAGAGTGACACCTGGAAATTGGTATAACAGCTTTTCAGATCAAAGATAACAGCCACACACAGTTGCCAGTTTCATACATTTAACACTGGACACCAAACAACACCTCCTAGTGCCTGAAGAGGCAAAACCACTGGAAACCGAAGGAACTGTTACTTGCATACATAACTTTGATAAACATTTTAAAAGTAGGCATGATATTCATGAACTCTGGTAATTTAGGAGCAAATACCGCACACGCAGTTGAATAGGTAATACTTTAAAGCTACATTCTTAAAATACATGATTTCATAGCAGATCTTAATGAGATAAGCTTGCCTGCGACTATCCTGCATTGCAACAGAGCGTTCAAACTTCCAAACCATTAATCGGTTCTGCTATACAAATTCATTTAAGCAATTAGGGTGCTTCAGAACAGTGCTACACCTGCAGCTGGCATACTGCTTGAGCAGGAAGCATGAACATTTTTTAGTTAACGAAACTCTGACGTCTTTTTCCTGCTAAACTTATTAGACCCAGTATCACAGATACAGGGAGGACTAGCAGAAAACTTGCTAGGTAAAACACCGCATCCTCAATTTTATTACCCTATTTCCTTCACATTTGAGATGTTCAGTTGGGGAGGGGGAAAAAAAATGGCAAAGACCGGAAAAGCCTGGCACTCCTAGAAACAAGCAAATTTATACTGTCCATGAGCAGTTTCTGTCCCTCCCATTAAGCGTGGCTTTCTTGCAGATACAGCAAAGCTGCTGAGCAGGTTTGGCACAGTGATAGAGCAGGGCTGCTTTTCTGTACCATTGCATGGTATCACACCAAGACAACGAAGCCAGCGAGAACACGGGACAACGTACTAAAGGGACCCCAAACATTGATCTTCACTTAGCACTGCAAGCAAACAGCAGCTTGCCTAACAGCAGCAGCACTTCTATTACAGAAACAGAAATAGGCTCTTCCAAGTGACCCAGGAGCTGAATTTTTGGATTAAAAAAGAAAAAAAAGAACAAAACACCCACACACCACAACAATAAAAGCCAGTATTTCAAAAGCAATTTGAACTGAAATTCCATTTCTGCAGATGGAATACATCCTTGCTTCAGCCAAAGGTTGTTTCTTTATTAGGACAGGCAGCTGTAAGACCAGAGCTGTTTTAAGCCCGGTAGCCCATTTTCAGTCTAAAATATAGGAATGTGTCAAATTAGTCTATATATGTTACATTTTTATTACTTGCCTGCCATAGTTGAAATTCCTAGGATAACTCCAATTGACAGTTCTATTTGCGTTCCCTGAAAAATAAGAATTTTTTCATTATTTGAGGGATTCGGAATTAAAACAGATGATCTCACTTCAACTGGCCTAAGTATTGCTTACTGCTTGTTTATGTTCGACTTGAAAGGATAAATGAATGTTATCTCTAATAGAACTGCACAGATCCTATCCTCCCAGCATATGTATCATCCCTTAGAACAAGGGCCTACCTCATATGTTGTTTTAATACTGTTCAGATATTGTTTTAATACCATATATCATCTCATAACGGCCACCTAATGGACAAAAAAAACCCAACCCTTTTTGCATACCGCTTTCCCACTACAATTCTTAGCCGAATGCACAGTTCAGAAAGCAAGCTTTTTCTACCAATACTGAGTAAAATAATAAAAAAGTAGTATCATACCCCCTTATCTTTTCAGTTAAGGAAACTGAAAATCACAGTGAACTGCAGGATGATATACAGCAGTGCTTCGCAGGAGGATGAGTGACAATGGGCATAAATCGAAATAAGAGAGGTTCCAGGAAAATTTTTTTTCAGCGAGGGCAGTCAAATATTGGAATAGGTTGCCAAGAGATGTTGTGCAGTCTACATCCTTGGGAGTTTTTCAAGGCCCAAAACCCTGGTCTGACCTTATTGTTGACCCTGCTTTAAGCAGGACGTTGGACTACAGACTTCCTGAGGTCCCTTCCGACCTGAATCATCCTATGACTAAGGTCACAGCATCAATGACTATTCGACATAAGAAACAGCATCTTTGGCTTTTACTCCTCTTCCCATCCCACAAGCCCATTTCATCTTCCAAACGAACAAAAAAAAAAGAGTAAGCATTGCTCAGCTACGTCAATGCAAATCAGCACCGCTATTAACAATGCTTGCATCACCCAGAATAAAAGGAACACATTAGTAAAGAACACTGAAGACCTACTTATCAATGCATTATAACTACATTTGGCTACCAGTAAGAAGAAACAAGAATACCGACTCTGTGATCATAAACGTATCTTACAGCACAAATTAGGAGAGGAAAGAAAAGTGTCATTTCAATTCAGTAAAATTTGTTACAGTGCTCGCCTTCAGGAGGAACAGCACTCCTTTGAAAACATTCTGCAGAGTCTGAATAAAGCATGGAAATTTTCTCACTGGAAAAACTGAAATAGAAATTAGTGTCTTAAGGCAGAGGGAAAGGAGTCTTCCTGAAGCTCTCATTTGCTCATTTAGCACAACGAACACTTGAACAAAATGAAGCATGACGACTTGATCAAGGAATTAAAAAATGAACTTACCGCAGCAATCATAATTGCGTTATCCAAAAATCCAAACCCTACAAAAGGCAATGCATTGTGGAAGAACACTAAAAGAAATAAGTAATAAAGAGATAATAAATATTTATTAAGAGAGTTCATTAGTTTACATGAACAACTGATATGTCAGTTTAATCAGCAGGCATCGCCTTTAAGAGAAGCAAAGACAACACACAAAAAAACCCTTTCCTACTATTTCTGTTAGTGACCTGTTTTTATTTTTAGCAGGTTTGGTAAAACCTCTGCTACATCTATGGCTTCTGAATAACCAGTTAAACCAACTTACTCTTCACAAATACTTGTAAACTTTTGGATGGAAGCCTGCTAGTGCATAAGGGAAATATTTAAAACTACACAAACTTTGATACTACTTACAATCCTTCCAACTGATGCTGCAGTATCACAGAAGACTGGCAAACTCTGTCTCAGACTCTTTGCATTCTTCTCTCATTCTAGGAAGCAGCTTCAAATAAAGCCCTTACTTTCTCTGCAATTCCCTCTCTATCCCAGTGCAAGAGATCCATCTTCTTCAAACATTCCTAAAAATTCATTTATTTTATTTATTTATTTTTTTTTTAAAAGAGTATTTCTTACAGCTAGGCAGTTCTTATCATATAAAGCAGAGTACCCAAAGACTCCTTCAGCAAAACCTGCAAATACTAAGACTATTTTCACTAATGTGTTAATTATCTCACTATTCAACCCAAACCTCTGTATCTTGATTTTCTTGGGGCACTACGTTGAATACAATTAGACTTGAAGAGGGTCCTCCATACATTGTTTAAAGAATCAAGTTCCACCTTTTATTTCATGCATCTTTTCATTCTTGACACTCCAAATAAATCCTGTTTGAAAATATTTTCTTTTGCAGCAACTTGGGACATGCTAGTCTGAACAATTTCTGACAGCAAGCACACAGTGATACTGTATCTTTCCTTTTGTCCTGTTCCATTTTCTCTCCCAAGTTTTAGCTTATAAATTTCTTACAGAGATGGGACTAAATTTGCATGGCATTGCTTCCAACTGAGTCTTAAGGTGCTAGCAGCATAAGCCTAAACACAGCACTAGGGACAGACTACTTGACTAAAATACAGTTTAGAAAATTAGTTTTCCACTTTTTCAACTTTTAAAACGTACCAGCTATTTAGGGCTTTTCCACTTCAGATATGATCAACAACCACATTTTTAAGTGTACAGAGACACAAACATACAAAGAAGGAAGGGAGAAGAGTATGTATGAACCTCACAGTCACACGAAATGAAACAGGTAGCTCTCCCTTTTGGTTCTGCGTACCACGGGAAGCATGATCACATAAAAAAGCAAAAGGCCACACTTCAAGAGACCTTTCATGCTCAGGTACCAAAACGTGCTTGGACTTTTGAACTATTTTGTAAGACTGTCAGCATTTTTTAAATATAAATATAAGAATAAAGCATGTAATATGTGGACTTTTAAAAAATTGTTTACAGCAGGAGAGAAAAAAACACTGAAAGATAATAAGGAAAAAAGCACGCAAAAAGATGCTATCGGTTTTTCAGATTTGTGTAGCTAACTATGAATCTGCAGAGCTCAAATTTGGGCTCAAATTCTTACTGAAGTTGACAAAATGTTGGAGTCCATGGAGTAAACAGAACTCCAGTGGCTAACACAAAAAAAAAAAAACATAGATACACAGAATAGGAGAAGATTTGCATAAATGATTGCTCACTGACAGAGCTTAAAAACACAAGAATACACTGATTTGGAAAATGAGTCAGAATTTAGTATTATAAAGAAAACCAAACCTATTTCCAAGTTCTCTATAATTTTATCTCTCTTCTCAGTCCATTTAAAGTATATGTGACCAGAAGTCAGTCAGCAGTTTTAAGCTTAAACACACAAAACCGCACACGCTACCGCAGCGTCAAAGCAGCTTGGCTTAGAGAAACATTTTTGCTACTGGCTCTGAACAATGTTGTTTCATTTGGACTTTCGGCCCTAGTCCCTTTCTCTCTCCAACTGAGGTATTATGAAATAGAGAGGGCAATAGGATTGTGGGTGCTTGCTTTCGTTCATCTACAACTCGGTACTACAGGGAGGAGTACAAAGTAACGCTAGCAGGAGGAGAAGATGAAGCAATTCAAATACAAAGACTGCACAAATATTGAACTACATTCAGACATTCTTGTTTTACCATGTCTCAGTTGTCCTGGAGATGGTGGTGCAACCTCCAACTTCTCTGGAGAAGTTAAAATGAAATGAGAAAGTTAGCTAGTTCATCACAAATTAAGTTTTCTGTAACACAATGAGTTTACACAATTACCAGCAGGCAAAAAACCAGTTACGTTGATTAATACCATTAAAACTTGAGCAACAAAAGCTTTATATTTCTATATTTTAATTATTTTGTATTAGATAACATGATATTAAAAGCCAAAAAGTCTCTCAGATTGATATGACAAGATTAAGCTTATATTTACAAGTGACTATGCAAAATAACAGTTTATGCACTAGAACAGCCCAGTAGCCATCTTTGTTACTGGATTAGATAAGAAAGTTAGAAAAATCATACTAATATTAGAAAAAAAAGGGACATCTAATGAATACAATAATTTACTGTTAGATTTTAGAGGTACTCTAAGCAGGCAGCAGACAACCTTCATTCCTCCAGCCAGTTTGCAAAAACCCCCTACCATTTCTGTCCTGACAGCAGACATCCGTTAGCCGGTGAGAGAACAAAAGAAATACTACGACATTAGAGACCACGGATTTCAATCACAGCAGATCGAGTTTGGTCACTTGGTGCATGTTTTAGGTATGCCGGGCTCAAACCACTGAGAGCTTAAGGCAAGGACCCCGTTCCTGAACCCCACAGAATATTTCATAGGAAGCTAATGCAGTTTCACCAAGTGACAGGTGATGAGTAAAAGGCGGCAGCAGCAACAGGCACCCATTTCACAGCAAATTTCTGGGACATGAGGGAGGAACTAAGCTACTTATTTAGTTTTTTTTAAATGGTCTTCAAGCCAAACAAAACACTCCTCTTCAAAGGAGGAGTTTAAAAAAAAAAAAAAAAAGTGGCCCCAATATCTTCCAGTACACCAAACCCCGAGCTTTTGCAAAAACGCTGACAGATTTTTGGAGTAGGCAACTTCAACTTCTCTAGGCAAAGGTTTTCTCCTGTAAAATATTTGGGAAGCTTATGTCACTACCCCAGGTGATCAACATGTACTTGGGGCTACCACAGTAGCTAGTGTAAAAAGACAACACTACAAACACAGGCTGTCAATCATCCTGGCACAGTCCGCACCATGTCTGAACTGCACAGATTAGACTGAGCATCCCTGCAACATCCAAGTGAGCTGGTATACTCAAAACTATTGCAAAGGTGTAACTAGTAAATTCACCTAAACCGATGTTTTTGTTTGGCTGGTTTTTAGTCTAGAACATGACACCATTATTCAGGCAAACCGAATACTGCCTTCAAAAGTAACTGCATTAATTTAAGGTTGAAAACTATAAAACCTTTCAAGCTTTAACAGCTACAAGAGCTCCTAGAGAAAGATAAAATATCCAAGCTCCAAAGAAACAGCCAACTGTACTTGCCATGAAAGTGAGAGAAGTCCAGCCCAAGTACCACAAAAATACATATATTTTTTAAAACAGAACAAGCTACAGCGTTCCCAGATTAAAACCTCGAGCTAAGGGAAGAACCAAACACCAGCCAATTAGCAGATGGGAGCCCTGTAAGAACCAATCTGCCCCAGCTACAGGCATTATTTGTGCCCAACAGCCAGAAGAAGCGACACTGAAGTTCTCAGCTGGTGTCCAGGAGGACTTGGTACAAAGGAGGGAACCCACTGCCCACCCAAACTTCATTGCCCCCGTCTGCATGCGGGCTCCCCTGGGGGTAGCCAGGCAGCCTAAGCCAACAGCACCAGATTTGGCATCAGTTCCTGACAAAGTTCTCCCAACAACCTGTTGCTCCATCTTGTAGGATGCCAAGGAGAGAGGAATGAAAACGCAAAAATCACAAATACAGGCATAAGGGAGTACTGTCTTCCGGAGCTCTTTGCTCCGGCAAGAAGCTATTACATTGATTGCTAGGGCTGCTTGCTTCGAACCCCATCACTGAAGCCATCCTCGGTGAAGTATCATCCGTTCTTCAAGTCTAGTTCTTCACAAACAAGAATTTCATGACAAAAATCTGCAACAGCATACACAAGTTGCCAAGTCACGCTCCTTTTATTTCTGAGGACCTGACATCTTTTCACAGTTTGTCTCGATTTTTAAAAGGCAGTTATCATATCCAGTTAGTCTAGGCAACTCCCAAGTGAAATATTTGGGGTACCAAAGCAGGAGACTATGCAGTTTTATCGCACAAAACTGCAAAGCTTTAGTACAGCAGGTGACGGTGCGCAAAGCTACCCTCAGAACCTAAGACTTCGTTTAAACCTGGCCGACTGGGAGAAAAAAAATAAATAAGTAAAGAAGAAAGAATTAATAAGCACCATGGCATGAAAGCCAAGAACGATTTTACAGAATCGTTTCCAGTACCTTAAAGCCTTACGCACTTTAACACCCTGTGAAATACGCAGTCACAAGGGGATCACTTCTCAGAAAGAACAACAAAAAAAAAACCACTTTGAAACAATGTATAATTCTAGATACACTATTCCCAAGCATATTTCACAATTTATTCACAGGAAGCTATCCTGGCTTTTTGAATTTTCAAGGCTCAGCATAAAAAGGAAAAAAAAAAAAAAATCTTCAGCGAGCAGAGCAAAGGAAACCTATCCTTTACTTATTTTACTGGAGGAAAGAAAAACCGTAAGTGCAAAACCCAGTTTCAAGAACTGAATTCATTCAGAATGCAATGCTTGAGAGTTGAAGTGTTGAGGTAGACGGAGGTAATTCACTACTGAAACTGCAGCTAACACTACCATAAGATTTTACAGCTAAATCCGTTACTGTCATCGCAGGGCAGCAAACACAAGTACTACTGAAATGTTAAGGCAGAAATCGGTACTACGGCCAGGGCTGCTTGAGGAGCATACACGCTATAGTTGAACAGCATTAAATCTAATGCAAGAATCTAAGAAGTGTGCTTTATAGTTTTTAAGTAATAACTGAATTCTTAAGAATAATGGTTTAACAATGAAGGTAAGAAGGTACGGGGGAAATATGAGAAATATTAATAAACTGGATCCATTATAACCCTACCGCAGAGTCTGAATGACAGTCTCCCATGTGGAAGAGGAGGGCGGCTTTGCCTCAAATCCATCAGTCGAGAACATCAGTTTTGTCCAACCTGCCTGTCCAAGCAGTTCCGGCAAATCACTCACATAGGCTTCATGAAAACAGCAAGGGCTTCACATACACAGAACAAGGAACCAAAGCAATTTTTGTTTCTATATAAAAGCTGTATTCCTTTATAGATGTATTCATAAGAGGATAAAGGTCTATGGAGACAAATTCTGGACTGGAGCATAAAAACGACATAAGCGTTATTGCTTTCTTCAGTATCTAGAGACGGAGCCTTAAGAATAAATTCTGATTATGAGGTAAAAGTTTATTCCCTGAATAATCCTCATCCCTCTTTGTTCCTCGTTTTCTCCAAGCTTTAGTAAAAGCTGCAAAAACCTCAGTACGCACAGCAAAACATAAGACTGAATAACCGCGGTCAATGGTTTTCAATTGGCTTCCCTTAATATTCCATACAGGAACAGTCGAGCCATGAACTGACAGCAGAGAAAAAGATATCTCCATCTCTTGTGATAACTCACAAATGATTTCCTGTTAGTACAGCAATTAAAGCATGAAAGGATGCTGACTCGTGCAGCGCTAAATATAAGCTCTACTGTTAGCCAGTTCAGTCACATGCACAGAAAAAGAGAAAGCTTAGCAAAGCACCAACAAGCAATGAATACACAGAGAAAAATCATTACATCGTGTCCTCTATCACCAGTGAAAAGATAACTCTCTCAAAAAAAAAATTGTTCTGCACAAATACAGACGTGGCACTACAGGTATGAAAGACTAACTTTTGCTCTCCCTAAAACTGCAGAAAACTACATAATGATCATGTCCCATCTCCCTCCCTCAAAAACCTTAGAGGAGCAAAAGAGATCATCATCATCTTTACTTGGAGCTGCTATTACATCTAAAGACCAAGCGCTGGGAACAGTTCCAGAGATCCTTTCCTAGCAGGCAAGCAGCCGCAGACCCCAGGAGAGCGCTGGGGCCAAGTGCCACATATAGTTGGTGCAAGCAGTCTGGGTCCAAAGGAAAAAAAAATCCCTAACAGGGGGGTTACAACTACTCTATACCACTGGACCTAGTGGTGTAGAGCAGATGCGTTAGTAACGTATTTTTTCACGAGATATAGCTTTTAACATCATAGAACTTCGTTTCAATTTTCTCTTCAGCGCCTACTGGATGTTCATCATCAAATAATACAAGTATGCAATCTACTTATCCTCTTAGCCCTTCCGACAAAGCAATACACCATTAATAGCATTTTAAGGACATTTGCAATTACATAGACACTTAAGGTGGGAAACCCAGACTGGAAGTCTAAGAGAAAGCATTAAATGAAAACAGGTATCCAGAAATCCACATCACCATCTGTATCTCTAAGGGACTTTTCCTGACCCATTCCAACTTCATTTCAGCACCTTATAAACTCAAAGCTCAGTCCTTCATTTCCATCCAAGCAGATTCATGCCAAAATATGACTTGCAGTGGTTCACTTTGCAAGGTCCCAAACTGCAGTTGCAAAATATTAGAAATAAGACGGTTGCTACAAGATTGGAGGGGGTTAACTCGGCTAAAACGAGGACGACATAGAAAGAGCTTTTGGTTTATAACAGAGGTACAGGGCAATGATAGATGTATGGCGTTTGAGCTGCCTTGTTCAAAGAGAAATGTCAGAAAGAAACAGCTGAAGTGACTACATAGAAATGCCAGACGCACGGGAGATAACACTGCAGGAATCCAAACATGAACAATGATGCAGTCCTCTGATCTGTGCATTCAGACACAGATCTAAGGTGCAAGAGTACTGCCAAAAAATAACTTGGCTGTTGTAATTCCCCCACGAGTGAGCCATTCACAAAGTCAAGACTCTGCCACAAAAAGGTAAACTCATTTGCAGAACCATAACGGCCATCGCCACAAACAGAGGTGGGCTCTTCTCTTCCTCTTCACCCTCCATGTTCGAACGCTCGGGGACTGCAATGAATTCGGAAGAAACTGAGACCATAAGATAACAGAGGGACACCTCTCAGACTCTTGCATCTTAGGATGAACGAATCTTCCTCCCCTTCAGGGATTACTACTGCCCTCCCCATTACCTATGGAACAAGACTGAGTAACTATTTCAGGCTAACATTAAAGCGGAATTAATCTCATCTAACCATACGCTGCTAGTTATGGTTCTGTAATAGGAGGTGTTAACACTTCTCTGTCAGCACTGAATTCTCCTGGGCATCTCTGGTTTTGGGTACCTATTAGTGAATTCACTGGCTTCCAGCCGAGCAGAGAAGCAGCTCAGCAACAGTGTTGAACTGGAAGCAAATAAAATCATAATATCTATATGCAATCATAGTCTCAGGTTAGGTTCTATGATTTCCTTTGTAGTAGCTTCACATAAGAAAAAGCAAGGAAAACAGCTGTGACACCACAAAAGATTCGATAACGAGGCTTGTCACAGCTCTAAGCCCAGCCAAAGAGATCTCATCTAGTACAGTGCCCTCCCTCATCTTGAAAGAGGAAAATATTACGCCTTGCTGATGCCTAAATATGCATGTTCATGAAGTATCTAGGGAGGAATATATACAATTTAGGGATCCTTTATTTCACAATGTTCCCACCAGGTCCTGTTTTTAAAAAGAAATTTGAGAAGAAAGCGAGAGATGAATTTGTTTCCCACTCTGCCTCTCACTTACGCCCTTCCCTCACCTGCCCAGAACCATACTTGTTTCCCCAAAACGGGGTGGGGGGGAGGCGGTAATTTGTTATGTTTCCCCAAAACGGGGGGGGGGGAGGGCGGGAATTTTGGAAAGA